TTTCTTTTTTTTGGTTTTCCTTTGCTCTCGTTTCTCGGTGAAACAGGTAGGTTTTTTTTTACCGTACTTCCCTCCTACTGTTTTTTTTTCTTCTTTTTTTTTTGTGTCTCGCTTGACTTATCGATCTAGGATGAATCGTACTACCGTTTAGGAATTTCTTCTTCTTTTCTTATCTTTTCATTTTCAGACGATGGTCGGCGTGAGAAGAGAGCGGGTGCGCGCTCGTTTCGACGATCCCGATCGCCTCGGCGAATGCCGGGAGGATTTGGGAGGAAATTGCTTCTCGTTTCTCGCTCGTTCGACGGAAGAAACGCACGCGACGCTCGATAGAAAAATGAATATCGATTCTTTCCTCCCAGCGAATGAAGTCGAATGAAGAAGAACGAATTTCTCGATTGATTTTTGAATTTTCGCGAACAGCTTCAACTTCCCCACGATCTTCTTCTTTTTTTTTCTTTTTTCGATTCTCTCGAGACAAGATCGATCCCAAAGTCCACCGAGGCGAGCATCAAATTAATCGGTTGGAGGCGAAAGTGAAGCGGAAAGAATCGAGGAGGAGGCGATCGGTTGCTCTTCGGTGAAAGGAACCGAACCGGCGATCGATTTGCTCGCGGTAAAAAAATCTCTACTCGTGGTAATTGACTCAGACGAACGATCTTTTAATTGACCCCTGCGAGCTGCGTGGAAATAGGAAACCGTGCAAGAGGCTGTTGTGATCAAATAGACGTTCCGCGAATTCAAGAAGATCCAGCGCGACGATTTTTCTCTCTGAATTGTGACCATGAAAGGAAGGAAGGAAGAAAGAAGTGAAGGAAGAACGAAGGGAGAAAAAGTAAAATGCACGTGTCAACGAAAGAAAGGGGATCGAAACGGGGCAGTGCGCAGTCTCCTCGTGCCAACCAATAAGATGTACGCAGTTATCATCATCATTATTATTATTATTATTATTTTGTTTTTTTTTTTTCTTTTAATACCTCACGCGTGCGTTCGTTAGTTACAATTATTAAGGCTACTTCAAAGCGGTTACAATACGGTAGTAATAATAATCGACAAACTCTCCACTCGATCTCGTCGCCTATCGTTCTTTATCGCTACTATGTATATATTTATATATACTTTTCGTACGCGCCCTCGTATACACTTACATGCAACATATAAATATACATTTGCGCGCGAACGTGTATACATATATATATACATACATATATATATATTTATTTATTTATATATGTATAATTAAGTTTATGTATAATCGGTGTGATGCTTCCAGTTTTAGTGTCGTTTAGTAATGGTAATAGTTTATGGTAATAGTTAATAGTAATTAGTAGCAATATAGTAATAATAATTCATAATAATAATGATAATCAATAATAGTAATAATAATAATCCATAATAATAATAACGTTATCATTATTATCCTCACTGTTTCTCATTAAATTGTTGTCTGTATGTAGTTTACATAATATATATGTATATAATATATATATATACATATATTATATATATTATATATATATGTATATTCACGCGGATTCAATTTTTCATCCCCTCTCTATCCCCAATTTTTTCACTTTTTAGTGTTGCTGCTCCCCACCCCCCCCCCTTTACTTTTCTCTTCGTGAACAAATCTTACAGATCTATAGAAAGATGTCGAATCGACCACGAACGATCCAGCCATCGGGAATCCCTTTCTTTTCGCCCACTCCTCGTTTGCTGCTTCCGGTTTACGGTTTGGCGCTCGTCCGCCATCGAGATCACGGGTTTCTTTTGGTTCGATATATATATGTATATACATATATATATATATATATATTTTTTTTTTCAAATTTTTCTTCCTGCCTCGCGATCGCGGTGGCCGTTCCTGCTCGATTGGAATCGACTGGAACAATCGACAGTCGTCACGATTATTTCTTGGACATTTCACATCCTCCCCCTCCCCCCTCTTTTTTACGTCTTTCTTTCTTTTTTATAACTTTACATCTCGTTTATTTTGCCTTTCTCTCTCTCTCTCTCTCTTGGTTTGTTTCAATAAAATAAACGACGTTCTTCTTATTTTTTTTTCTCGCGTTCGGGGGAGAGATTTCGCGAAAGGAAAGGGGAAAAAAAAGGAGCGAAGGAAAATAGCGGAGAATAAACTTGAGAAAATAGGATGGAAGAAGTTGAAGGACCAAATGGAAAACCGATTGGCGCGGATGGTATGATTCTTAGGGCATGAAGGCAGCGAAGAAATCGAAAATCGATCATCGAGAACGAGGAGGAGGGTCTTTTTTAAAGCGAGAGGTGAAGAAGATATAAAGATTCGCGGTGAACGGAGAATAGAAATAGAAGTGTAGTCCCGCTGATTTTTTTCTTCTTCTTCTTCTCCTTTTTTTTCAGTGAAAACGAAAGAAGGAACGTACTTTAACATCCTCGTTAAATACAGGAAGACAAGCAGCGTTCGTCTTCGTTGAGCAAACTCCCAGTTAGTTGCAAAATTCATTCAGCCGGAAATTCGACGATGAAGTTTGAATGAACGAGACAGAGAACGAAGAAAGGATTATTTATCTAATTATTTATCTAAAGTAAAATGAAACGAAGGAGAAACATTTGGAGACAGTCAATCGTATCGATCAATCGTTAATCGAGAATTGTTAATCGCCGTTAACAAGACTCGATCGTTCTTAACAATTTTGCCATTGTGAATACGAGAATCGTATAATTTACTTTCGACGAGGGATCAATTTTCTTTTTCTTCGAGATTGTTGCTTGAGATTATGATAATTACGGAATTGTTATATACTCTTCGAAATTGTTTGAATTGCGTCCTCTTCGAAATTCAAATTCGACCTGTGATTTGCAGTAGAAGAAAGAAACTGAGAGACAATCTGATGCTACGAAATTCGTTAAATTTAAAAACAACAACCGTAGCAGAAAATGGATGAACAAGAAGTAGAGGATCTATAAACAAAGAGAAAAATTATTATTACATCTAAAAAGAATCATGAATCTAAGTGATCGAATCGACTCTCTTTCGTCTCTTTTACAGTTGACAGGTAAAAAAGAAAGAAAGAACAAAAAAAAAAAAAAAAAAAAAAATGGTAGGAGTGAACGAAGAATGACATCGAAAATGACATTTCTGAGGAATTCCATTCGGTTCGGGTGAACGCGTGACCGGAGAACGTGTCATTGAGAATCCCCTTTTCCAGCCCTTGTTAAATCCAACACTCATGGCAGCGACGGTGCGAAACGAAGAAAAGGGTGGAAAGTTCTCGAATAAATCGAACTCGAGGATCGTTGAAGAGGCGGGTGTCAGCGCCGAAAGAGAAAAATAAAACTCGACATTGTCTTCGATATATATTAGCAACGAAGTTCCATGAAAAATTAATACTTTTGGCTCGCCGTGACGTTGAAAGTCAAGCGTCGGTGGTTCTCAAATTCCTGCTTCCCCGGATGATGAAACTCGACGTATATTAAGTTTGAAAATTTGAAAATTTTTCCAAAGAAAGTTTCTCACGAGTGTGGCCCTAATTTCCCAAGTGTTTCACAACGAGAAAGTTTCACGAGAGAAGCAGGAGAATTGAGCTAATTAAGCCGAGCAATTTTCTAAACTTGGAATAATCCCGTCTGCGGAATGAAATGAAACTTCTCCGAATGAGAAATAAGTGGGATTAGAAGTCCCCGAAGAATTCATTTCTCCTTCGAATTATTCTTCAACGACGTAGGAAACGGAAGTCTTCGTTGTTCGTATTCCCCAAGACGGAAATGTGAAGCTGAATTTCTTGAAGGTGGATGTGATTTTAATAAGAAAATCACCTTCCCTTTTTCAAATGTAATTCTCCAGCGCGATGATCAGAAATTACGCGAAATCGTTCAAATCAACTTCAATCGAAATGGAAACAAACACGAGAGAGGACGAAATTCGTCTCCACGATGAAATTAAAATCAATTTCTATCGCGACACAAAAAAAAAAAAGAAACAATGAAAGGAAGAACGTTAATAAGAATCATAAATGATTATCCAATTGTCCCAAGTTTCATTCCAAATAGAAATCGAATTTCGTAAGAGTAGGGAGAGAGGAACAGAAGTGAGAGGGGAGAGACTCGACGAAACGGATCGGAAAGAAAGAAATCGATTGGAGTACGAATGTGTCGTGGATTTTGAACCGATCGATCGATGACAACTGTCGATTGGTCAGCGTCCAGTCAGCAAGAGGGCCAGGACAATAATCGACCAGGTTAATGCGGTGATTCCCGCGTCGAAGGGATCCCGTTGCTCCCGTTCGCGGTCCCACGGTCGCCGGAAGCGACGTATTAGCCACGAAGCACCAGAAGAGCCGCCATCGTGATCGCAAGGACCGTGAGGCTGTTGCTGGACACAAACGACGGAGCCGAGTTGCAACCCTCCTGCTGGCAACAGTACGTCCTCGTGCTCCAGGCCTCTGAAACAAAATCGTTCGCCCTTTTCTTTCAGAATCGCCAGATAATAAAAATTGCCTCTTCATTTGGAAAATTATCATCGATCTCCTCTCAATGGTCAACTCCTTTCATCCAGTTGAATCACTCGAATCGATTTAAAAATGTTTCGTGCTAAACGAATCAACTCGTTATAGAATTTTGAAGATTTCTCAGTTTTCCAGTAAACTCCGACTTTTTTCTTTTTTCTTTTGATCAATTGTCATGGTCCGAGCGTTAAGAATCTCAAGAGGTAGCGAAGTCTCGTAAGAACGTGTAATTCGAAGCGAATTAGAGAAGAGTTGACAAGGGAAAGAGATCGTGATTACATTTTGGTTGGAATTCGATATTACTGGTAATTTGAATATTTAAATATTAATATTAATATTAATATTAATAAACTGGTAATTTAAATATCAAGTGTATTATTAATAATATTAATAGTGATTTAAATATCAAGTGTATAGTTAATAATAATTAAAGTGAATTGTCATTAATATTAATATTAATAAACTGGTAATTTAAATATCGAGTATATTGTTAATAATATTAAATAATATTTAAATATCAAGTGTACAGTTAATAATAATTAAAGTGTATATTGTTATTAATATTAATATTAATAAACTGGTAATTTAAATATCGAGTGTATTATTAATAATATTAATAGTGATTTAAATATCAAGTGTATAGTTAATAATAATTAAAGTGAATTGTCATTAATATTAATATTAATAAACTGGTAATTTAAATATCGAGT